ACACCCTGGGGTCATGCACAGGACGTGCCCTCTGTTCGGTGACCTCGGTCCCCGTCGCCCGACAAACCCCACTTTCTTCCTTCCTGCAGGACAGGAACGGGTCTATGGGAGGGAGCTGCGGGTATGGACCGGTTTTGTGGCGTGCGGGCCACAAAAGAGAAAGGAAATGTTGAGGCTGGAGGGTCGGCAGCAGAGAGCAAGTCGTCCAAGTCTCCTCCGTGGCTGAAGAAGGAGAACCTGGGTGCACGGGACTTTCGCACCTGTCTATGGGCTCGCCCCCCCCCCAAGCACAGAGAGACCCCCCAGCCCTCCTGGCCAGCCATGGTGTCAGTGTCTCAGGGATGGCTTCACCCAGCCCACGTCTGCCCTGCCCCGTGTCCACACATGTGGTTTCTATCTGCTCTGGGAACCCGCGAGCGCGGCTAAGTCAGGTCGTTAACTTTCCTTCACATAAGGAGATAAAAAGCCAAGGCCAAAAAATGTTCTCATTTTGAAAGCTTGATTTTTTTCCCCCATTCATTCTTTTTCTTTTTTTTTTTTTTTTTTTTTTCCAAAATGACTCGACCATCGTTGCAATGCCGAGGTGGTCCCTCCTTATACCGTCCCGCGAGAAAAGAAAAAAAAATTAAAATTGGAAACTCAAAACCAACATCCTCAGGCTTCTCAGAAATGCCTCCACGGTCATCCCAACCTTCTGAGTTGATTCAAAATGGGGATTTTTTTTCTTTGTTTCTCTTCCTTTTCCCGGCTTCTGGGAGGATGTGGACTTGGATAGTAAAAAGCTAGGAAAAGGTACACGTCCATAAGGGGGTGTTGGTTACAGGAGCAGAAATCAGAGGCCGCTGAAAACCCGGGAGACGGGTGCCAGACGCGAGCCGGAAATACACAGACACACACTTCTGTGTGGACGAGAAAACAACGCTCTCTTTCCAGCCCCGGCCCACACCTGCATGTTGCAAGGAGCCCGCCTCAGGGGAGGGGGGGTGGAGAGTGGAGAATTTTTTTTAACACTTGAATACAAATATTTATAAGTTTATTTATATCTCCGTTTGACAAGATGTACATTCATACTATATGGTTTGACAAAATACACTTTGTAACTAGAACTAAACGTGAGAACATTTCATGTTACCAACCTGCAAGCATGGCCAGAAAAGCCCCTCCCGCATGGTTTCCGCCCACCGCCACCCCCCAGCCCCACGATAGCAGAGGGATACAGGTTTTCAAGACCGCTGGTTTGGGAAAGCTTCTGTTACTTCTTTTCGTTGGAGCGATCCCTGAACACGTCTGTAGGTCCAGACAAAGCTCGTATGCATAACCCAAAAGCTGTGGCTGTGCCGTAAATCCTAGTCGCTCCTCATAATTCGGGGGCGGGGGGGGGGAAGGGGGAGGGGAGAAAGCAAGAGGCTTAAAAAATATAAAAATAAATGCAAGGCAATGTCAAATTTACACTCACCATAATTAAAATAGCACATATTTATGAACTTTCAACCAAAAAAAAAAAAAAAAAAAACCAAAGGCAATAAATAACACATCCACATACATCCAAAGTCAAAAAGCAGAGAACCTTGCCTCCCTCTGATGCCACCTCAACCTACAACGGGGCTCGGTTATCAAACTATCACCTTTCAATAAATAGCACGCTTAATAGCTTTGAAAGTTGATATTTTCTACATTCTTCAGCTGATTTCTCATTAAATATCAAATTTCAATAAAACATTTATAAATTGCATCAAGTTTTCACGTGTATTGAAAACAAAACAAAAAAAAAAGTCAGCATATCCCTAAGCTAATTTTTAATAAATTTCAATAAATTAGGCACCAGGTTTTAAAACTTATCAACTGAACAGACCTCCCCCTCCTCCCCAACCTCCGAAACTCGGGGCAAGGAAGGGGCAAAGTGCCTGAAAATGTTGGGTCCTTGTGCTCAGCTCTGTGCCCCGGTGAAAATGCCCAGGAAAAGGGGCTTGTACCTTGAGGAAAATTAAGGAATTAGATTGGAAGCCAAGTGTGGGAGCAGAGAAGGCTGGGGTGTCCTTTCCATCGCGACCAGAGGGTTGGCCGTGAGCTCGCACACCACTGCCCAACATGCTCCTGGTTCCACTTTAAACACCCACATGTCCCCCCATGGCACAGACCACAGATGCTCGTGGCCAAGGACACAAGGAAGCCCACACCTGGAACTCAGACTTGTAGGGAGCGGAGGCAGCCACAGTGCCCAGCTTGCATTGCAGCGAGGTGTGGGGACAGTCCCTGCCCCAGGAGATCAGGGGGCATTTGAGGCTCTGAAGGCCCCCCCCCCCCCCTCGAGCATGGATGCCAACCCAATTAGCTGATGGACGTGGCAACGCGTCAGAACATGTGCTCCAGACTGGCTTGCTTTTCCCGTAAGTGATTCAGGAACCCCGTCGGGCCCAGTGCTCGATTCTGTCAGAGTGAAGAAAGTCACCATGTGGATGCCCCATACAAACAAGAAGAAAAGGACATCCCCATGCCTCTGAACCAGCAATGCTGGGTAGCCGTGCTTCCACAAGCACGCAAGAGCCACACACATCATCCGTAGAGTATGCCCAGCACCCCAGATCCAGAAACTCCAGAACCTTCCCCAGTGACGTCATCGGTCGCGGTTTCCCAGACACACAACCCAAGGAAGGAAAGATGGAATTCGTAACAAAGGTCCAACAGAGCAGCAACATCTTACAAGAACTCCATTTTGCCAAACCGGGCGATTTCCGTCCTGACTGTACTCTTTGGCCAAGGTTTCAGAAAAAGGAAAAGCATCCTGGGGCTGACGCCTCCTCGCGAAGTGGGCCCGGCAGAGCCGCGTGGATATGGGAACCAGCCCGCGGCTCACCCCGTGCGCCCGCGGGAACCCTCTGTAGGTCTGACAAACCCAATAGTCTGCCTACAGCCACGTCAACACGCAACCCTGCCCAACGTGCTTTCCAGGTGACATTTCCCGCTGTGACCAAGGCGCTGTTGGGATGTCCCACGAATGACTTTGAAAGGGATCCTGGTTTGAGCAGAAAACAGCAACAACAGCCCAGAGGCATCCGTTTCATGCGTGTCATTTTTCTGATGCCCTGTCCCAGTTCTGCACCACGTGCACGCCCCCGGGTGATGCCACGGCCCCGGGATGACGGCCCGGCGCACCTAGACCCACACGAGGATTAGGTGACCCCCGTCCAGCACGTCCTGGGTGCCACCAGCACAACCGGAACTGGAAGCTGCAGACCCCATGTCTTGTGCTCGCGTGGAGGGAGTTTTCTGGGGCGGAGGGAGTGGTCTGTGAAGAGTGTATTTAGGAAAAAATTTTGTAAGCTTTTTCAAACAAACAAAATACGGACGCACACGCTTTACCTGGAACCTTCGCCAAGTGTTACATTTTCGGATGAATGGCACTAGCTTTAAAAGGCTGGAAATGCGCTGTTTGCATGGAAAGGAAAATTCAAGCTTTGTAGGACCTCCTGTTTTGTTTTTCTGTTTTTTTTTATTCACAGCTGTTTGAAAGCAAAACTGCGCACATTTCAGCCAAACTCTACGTCGCCGTGAATGTCTGACATAAAAAGTTGCGAGTGATTTAAAAATACTGACCTTGCTTCCTCTGTCTTGCTCTGTCATTTTAGAGCTTTACTAAAATTTCAGGGGGGGGGGGGACGTCGGAGGGGCCTTTCGGTTCCTATAAAGAATTTCAGATGATAGAAATGAGACGCGTCCAAACGCGTCTGCATCTCAGCCCCGTGGAAAAGTAGAAAATGTTTCCTTGCCCGGAAGGAAACGTTTTCTGTCTCGTGAAGAAAATATACCAAAGTTCGGGGATAAGGAAAGACAGCCGCCAAGGCCAAATCCGGAAAGAGCGAAACGTCTTTTGGACACAGAATGAACGCGTGCAGCTCACGAAACGCTGGCTGGACGGCCGGGGAGGGGTTGGCACACTGATGGAGAAAGCCGCTTCCTTCTGGGCAGCCCTCGGCGACTAAGGCAAAAACACAGGCGTCTCTCCGAGGTAGACAAGCCCAGCCCTGGTGCGTGGCCCCCGGAGCCCACGCAGTGCCCGCAAAGCGCCTCGCCTGGAACTCAGGTGCATCGCTGGGGACCCCGAACCCTGTGGCTACACCATTTCGAGCGACTTTCCTATCCCATGCCACCTGCTCAACTAAGTCGCCGTGTGGTGCTTACACAACGCGGCCGGGAGGGGGGCCTGGGGGGGGGGGGACTCAGGGAGAAACAAAAAAGAAAAGAGAAGACCTCGGCTACAAAACACTGTCTTCAAACTCGCTGCCCGGAGGACGTCACTCACCCTTCCCTTCTCAGAAACAGCTCAGCCAGCAGCGTCACATCCTGACAGGCCCCCGGTCTTGCTCGGCCCACGCCAGACACCCCCCCCCCACCTCGGGTTTGGCGATGGGCCCCCAGTCGGCCGGGCCGCAGCATGCAGGAGGAGGGTAATGCCCTTGGAATTCCGAAGCTGACAGGGTCAAGAGTGCACGGCTATTTTTTTTTTAAATCTATAATATTTACAGTATTGCACTTAACTGCATTTCACCAAAGTTAATGCTGCATCAGTATCATACCTTAAAACCACCCGCCCCTGTGTCTCTATGCAAGTTATTTGCGTCTGAATTCTGTAAAACAGCAAAAACAAACAAACAAAAATCATCAATTCGGGAATCAAATGCTGGAAAAGTTATAAAGTCGCCTGTACTATGGCACAAAGAATCCTAAACTCGGTGCTTTGGGGCCAAACATGTGCGTGAAGACCGTGCTCGTCATTCAGGTTCAACCCCCTCCCCCCCCCCAAAAAAAAGGGTCCCAACCTGGGACAACCAGGTCTCTCCCACCCCCACCCCACCTTGTGGAGGTCCTCAGACGCGGTTCCTTATTGCTGCAGAGTATGGCCCCTGCCTGGCAGGCGAAAGTCCACATTGAAATCCATACCCGTCCTGAACCTCCTCAGACGAAAAAGCAAGTTCGTGGCAGTGAATAAAACTGTTGGTATCTTCAGCGGAGACCAGCCCCCGGTCTTTTGTTTAATAGACTCTAAGATCTTCCAAAGGCGAGTAGGAAGCCACATGCACAGGGTAGGAACGCCGCCGGCAGCACAGGGGCGCACAGGAGCGCGCGGGGCGCACAGGGGCACACAGGGGCTCCCGGTGGCGCAGGGTCCCAGGAAGTGCAGACAGCGCGGCAAAGGGCTGGGTGGTCTGAGCGTCACCTGCGTTCTTCCGCGCGGTCTCTGCGAGGGTCTGGCGGGGTCGTGAGGGCCCCGGAAGGCCCCCTCCCTAGGCCAGTGGTGGGCCCCACCCCGGGCTGCCCCGAGCGAGCGGGGAGGCCGCTGCCCCAGGGCCCGCGCGCTCGCTGCAGGGCGTCCGTGCGAACCTTCGGGGGGCGCGGAGGGGGCGCGCGCAGGACGCAGCGTGGGCGGGGTCGTGGGGCCGGGGCCGGGCGGGCCGCGGGCGGTGGGTCAGAGCCCCAGGGCCTCGGCGTGCTTCCGCGCCTTGAGCCGCAGGTCGGCGATGCTGGAGTTTTTACTGTTGCTTTTGGCGGCGGCGGCCACGACGGCGGCGGCGGAGGCCGACTCGGCCAGGGACGCGATGGGCAGCCCGAAGGGCGGCGGCGGGAACATCAGGTAGGGCGCGTGCGCGGCCAGGTGCGGGTGCAGGTGCGGGTGCGCGTGCGCGACGCCTTCCAGCTGGAGCTGTGCCTGAACCTGGGCGGGCGGAAGGCGCAGTTAGGCCTCGTGTGCAACGGGAGGGACCCTGGGGCGTCCGTTTCTGGGGAGTCGTAGCCCCCTGCCCCCACCCCGGGGACCACCATCGACTCCTCTGCACCAGCCGGGCGCGGGAGAGGGGGTCGCAGCTGTGCTCCTGGCACGCGCGTCCGCGGGGGGCACTGGCTGCTTTGCGCCGTGGGAGCTGGAGAATCTGAACAGAGCCCGGCACCCACCCACCCACCCTCCCCCCCCCCCGGTGGCGCCCACGCCCCTGTCCTCGCCAGCATCCCGGTGTCTGCATCTCCTCACGGGAAGCTCAACTTCTCTGAACTTGTGACTTGTCCCCACTCGACCTCTGGACTGCGGGGTGCTGCCCTCCTCTTCTTACCCCCCTCCCCCGCGGGGCGCCGCGGGGGGGCCCCCCCCCCCCCCCCCCGCGCCCCAACAGCCTCATTGCAGCATGACCTCAGGGCGGACCCCACTCTGGGCTGCGGGTCGTGTGGAGAGACCGCCCTCCCTGGGGAAAGACGTGCGCCCAGGCGCGGAGTGGGTGAGGCCAAGCGAGAGAGGGACGCAGGCCCTTACCCAGCGCAGGCGCGGCCCTGGACTCCCTTCGCCTTTGGGCACCTTGAGTCTGACAGCACAAGGCGCCAGCGCCCCGCTCTCGGTAAGGGCCCTGTTTATCGACCCCTCACCACCTCTACCCGCGCCCTAGCTGACCCGCAGAGGCCCGTAGCAAACACAGGTCCAAATATAACCCCAGGCCTGCTCCCTGGAGCAAAGCCGTGCAGGGCGCGTGGTGAACACGCCTCCGCTCTGCCCACAGCACCCCAGCTCCGCCAGCCCGTGCGCTCACATATTCCCCCAACGGTGGGGCCCCAACCCGCGCGCCCCCAGGTCCCGCGCTGGCGCGAGTCCGGGCGGGGCACGTGAGCCCTGCGCTCTCGCCCCGGGCAGGTTCCACCATCCACCGGTAGCTGCTCCGGAGCAGAAGGCAGCCCTCGGGGGTCTCCGGAAACCCTAGACGTCCACGCCAGGCAGCCCTCAGCGCTGGGGCCTCCCGACTCCACTTGGAGCGGAGCCCTGATGACCCGGGCTCTGAGGTGGAGGGGGAGGCCCAGGTACAGGAGGGGGGCGTGGGGGGGGGAGCGCAGACACCTCACTTGAGGCTTGGGGCAGGCGAGGTGGGGGGCTGGGTGTAGACGCAGGGCCTCCCGGCCAAGTACACCATCCCCGCGCCCCACCCCCAGCCAGGCCGCCTGGGTGGGTGGGATTTTTTTTTTTTTCACTCCGATTTGATTTTTGTAAAATTGTGTTTGGGTTTCAACCCTGGCCCTCCCCAAGGTGACTCTTGGAGTTTTACAGCGTGATTTTAATACGTGCCAACGGCTCCATAAATGCCCCCTTGTAAAAGCGCCAGCCTTTCTTCTGTGGGGGCGGGAGCGGCGGGGGGGGGGGGGGGGGAGGCAGGACGCCAGGGAGGCGGGGAGGTGGCGGGCCCCCGCGCGGCTCAGAAGGAAGGAAAACGGGCTACCTGTTGGAAAGGCATTCGGAGGGCGCCCATGTTCACGTAGGGGGCCACCCTACAGGCGTCCAGGTGGCTGGCGGTGCCCAGGATAACGCCTGCAAGGGGAAAGAAGGAGCCGTGAGGGCCGCCGAGGTCCTCCCGTGTCTGCACGCGCTCCCCACCTCCACACCCACCTTTATGCATCTGGTTCTCTTGCTTCCGGCACTTAGCTCTCCGGTTCTGGAACCAAACCTGAGGACAGAACAGAGACAGGCGCGCAGCCCCGTGAGCCCGCCGGCCTCTTTCCCCCCAGGAGGCTAGGCGCACGGCGGCGGCGCGCGCTCCGGTGCCAGGACACCAGGGTCGCAGTCGGGCTCCCTCCTGCCCCAGCCACCCCACCCCCCCCCCATAGCTGGCCACCTAGAGCTACGGATTCCCAAAGTCGCTTCTGAGCCCTGCCTGTGTCCCCAGGTGAGGAGCCTTGACGGCTCATGTGTTTAAAGTGGAAAAGTGCGCACCAGAACAGCGGGGTGGATTCGAGAACTTTCCAGGAGCAGTGGACGCCCTCTTCCACTCTGCCAGGCCCCGGGAGCGCCTGATCGTCCTGTTCGGAACCTTAGCTGCCCACTACGGGGCTCACAGATGCATAAAAAGCTTCCAATATGACCCCCCCCCCCCCGCCATGGTGCAATTCGGGACACCCTGAGTCCAGAACCCTCCGCGTCCCCAGTGTCCCTCATGCCCTCCTTGGAAGCCTGGAGGGTCCCAGTTAGCAGTAAGGACTCCTCAGCGTCCTGGATCCGGAAACACCGGGTCACCCCGACGACTGCGGCCACCGGCCTCTCTTGCAAAATGTCTCATTCTTGGAGAAAAGGTATCCGCGGAACCTTCCCCAGTTCAGCTCGATTCGCAGGCCTGATGTCAACATTTTGGAGCAAAGGACGCCCCACCAAAGTCCCCCCACCTCGTCCAGACGGCCCTGGTTCTTGAACCCCGCGGCCCCCAAGCTGTGCCTGCGGAAATCTGGAGGCCCCTCGTGCACAGTTTTAGCACCTAATTGTTCCTAACTGGCTTTCTCCCGCGGCTTTCCTGCCGCCCTCACTGGCACAGTTGTTGCAATGACATCAGGGGCCTCGCGGAATAATTAGCACAAAGCAAGCCTTCCGTTTGGCCAAACCGCCCGGACAGCACGGCCCCGCTGCCCCCGACCCTGCACGGGGGAACCTCAGCAAACCCGGGAGGCCAGACCCAGCAGAGACTGTAAGAAACCTTCACTCTTCCTTCCCAGACTCTTCTGAGACAGCTTTTTATCCACGGCTGAGCCACCGCCCTCCCGTTTGAATCGGCCTTTCCGGAAGGCTCAAAAGCTCGGCCCCGCCAGGCTACCTAACGGGGAGCTTGGGAAACTTTCAGCCTGTTCCCCGAAAAGCGGTCCCCAAACGGTCCCTCCGACCCACCCACCCAGCAAGGTGGGCCACACCAAGTTTCACTCCGTGTGCAATCCCTGCGCCCGTGGCCGTCCTCCCCGCACAACCCCGGGGCGGTCCAGACGGCACGACTGCACCCCGGAGGGCCCCTCCGGGGCTCCTCCCTCTCCTTGGGGTGCCCTACTCGGTCCTCAGAGGGGAGACCCAAACCAGGCGCAGGAGACAGCAAATTCTGCACCCACCCCCTCACCCCCCCCCCCACCAACGGCATTTTCCAAAACCAGAATCCTATTTAAACGTGGAAAGAAAGCTGTTCTGCCTTCAGCAGGGGTGGGGGGCGGGTGGGTGGAAATAACATTACGATGAATAAAAGTGATGAATTAGCCGCCGCGTGAAGCGATAATAAATCAGTCTTGGGGTGATTCACGATCAATTCGAATTAGTCCTGAATATGCTAAGGAGAGCTCAGTGCACTGGTTAAACACTTATTTCTTCATTAAGGACCAGTCACTGATTTCTTTCACAAACGCTGTAATCTGATTTCCTTTTGATTTCCATTACAGACAGTGAATAATGACATTTAATTTAGCTCTGCGCCATAAACCCAAAGATATTTGTTGTAATTAAATTACCGCCTGGTCCTGCGCGTGGTCTCATAACTTTCGATTATAACCCTGACAGCTGGGCGATACGAGGTCCCAGTACACGACTAAAAATAAAAGGTTAATAAAGACCAGCCTCCGTAGGATCCCCAATTTATGTACAGCAGATTTCTGCACTAAATTGAACCTCGACTGTCCTAACGGCAAGGGACGGGCTGTGCCCAAAAGGGACGACCCAGAGGGTTCAGGCACGAGAACAAAACACAGCTCTTTCCTGACCCCCTGCCTTAGCCGCCCGCCCCCTCGCCCTGGGCGCGCTGACCCATTCGTTTTAACTAATTGATTTTTACGAGCCCCTTGTCCCCTGGTGTTGATCCCCTGACTCTGTTCCCCGTGGCCCGCAGAAAATTGTCTCTCCCATCCCCGTGTTTCTTTTTATTATTATCTGCAGTCGTTAAGTTTTAATTCACCTCTGGATGGACAGCCACTCGCGACCCTTCTCCTCCACACAAACGCCTCCCCCCCCGGCCCCCCCCCTTGATTTTAGGGTTTTCTCAAGAGCTGCAGACACAGGAGAAGCAGTTTTCTGCCGGTGGGTCCCTCCTGCTAAGGTGCTGCGTGTAATAGACTGCTCAAAGAAATAGTGTAGAATTAAATTACAAGTAATTTATTTTTATAGAAACAGTACATCAAGGCCTGGGAGATATTACAGATCCCAGGCAGAAAGACACGGGGAGATAACATAAAAGTTGATGTCCCCCTCAGCGAAAGTTTAATCTTTTCATTAATTTATAGGGGGAATGCCTATCCATCTTGCCCGAGAAAGGTGGCCAGCGGGGAAGCCACTCTGGGCCCTGCCAGCCGCCTCCCCGTGCGGAGGGCCGCTGATGCCCAAACGCACCGGACGCCCCCCGCCCCCCGCGAGGGGTGGGGGGACAGGGTGGCCAGAGCTGCTGTGCGCCTGGGTCCCACCTCGCAGGGAGGCTCTGTCCCCGCTGGCTGTAGCCTAGAGCCGGCCCTACACGATTGCCTTGCAGTCCTAAGAAACCCTTCCCTCTGCAGCCACACGGAAACGCCGAAGGGGGGCTGGGGACCAAAAACAATTTTCTTTTCCAAATTAAAGATTTCGTAAGACACTATCTATACCACACGCTCGTGTTTTCGTTTGGAAAGTAAACTCGGGGAAGGGTGGGGACTGGTGTTTGAACGTGTTGATATTCCAACCCAACGGGGGAAACCCGTGCGTTCAAAGCCCTGCGCTTTTTTTTTTTTCTCATGCGGGCCCCCCCCCCCGCCCCCGCTCCCCGTTTGGCAATATTAATTCCGTGTATTTAAAACCAGTCCCCAGAGCCCCGGGGATGCTGACCCCTTCTTCTCTCCGCCTGGCGCGCTGCTGTGGTGCCCAGAACCGTGAGGAAGGACGGGAACCTTCCAGGCCCCGGGCTCCCAGGCGGGGTCAGCATTCGGAGGACGCGAGCGGGAGTGAGTTTTTGCTACCGTGCCCCAAAAAGGCAATAAATAAATTTAACCTAGCGGCTTGCCACAGCGTCCCCTCCGCGCACGTGCCGCGCACGCCCAGGGCCCCCGCAGACACTGGCTCGCCAGATGGGGCTTTATGAATTCATGCGCCCGCGCCCCCGCCCCCCGCCCGCGCCCGAGCTAATCCGGCCCCGCGCGGGCATCAGCCGCGCTCATCAAGATGCCCGTGTGCGCGACTCCCCCCACCTGGCCCCTCGCCTCCCCTCCCTGGAGTGCAAGGGAGGAGGCTGGGGGCCCGCGGAGAGGAGCTGTGCAAAGAGGTGAGGTCAGATCCCAGTGCCTGAGCACCTCCAGGTGCGGAGGGCGACCGGCTCCGGCGGGGCACGCGCCCTGGGTGCGAACCGTGCGACCCGCGCGCACGCGAGGGCCCTGGGCGTCTCCGAGAGGCCCTGCGCTTCGGGGCTGGCGGGCTCCTACCTGCACGCGCGCCTCCGAGAGCCCCAGGCGCTGGCTGAGCTCCTCGCGCATGAAGGCGTCGGGGTAGTGGGTCTCGTCGAACAGCCTCTCCAGCTCGTTGAGCTGCTCCAGCGTGAAGTTGGTGCGGCTGCGCCTCTGCTTGAGTTTCGTCTGCCCGTCCTCGTCCTCGGACTTGACGTCCTCGCGCTTGTCCTTGCACTCGTAGATGCCTGCGGGGGGCAGCGGGGGGCGCAGGGCTGAGGGCGCAGGGCTCCCCGGGCCGCCCCCGCCCTCCCCGTCTGCCCAGAAACACGGCCGCGCTGCGCGGAGGTGCAGGACCCGGCGAGCACCGCGTGCGCGCCTGCGGAGGAAGGGGCCCCGGCAGCCAATGCGCCCTGACTGCCTGACCAGCCCACCCCCACCCAGGGCTGCGTCAGGTCGATAAAGCCGACTCGAGGGGCAACCCACGCTGTTTGGTAATAACTCGGGCGTTGGCGGCGCTGAATTTCTCGGCCTAACCTCGGAATGGTTTCCTCAAGGTTCCCCTTTGCGCCTGTTGACATATGGACATAGCCACATAGCTTAATCTCTCTCTCTCTCTCTCTCTCTCTCTCTCTGTCTCTCTCTCTCTCTCTCTTGGAGTGGGGTGCGAAATATTATTTTAAGTCAAACAAGTTTGGGCAGAATCGCCCTAGTGTGGGTCCCGCGAAGGGCACCGGGCGCACCAGCCGGGTAAGAGCCTCCCTCCCCACGCGGGTGGATCTGGGCCGTGCGGGCCCCTCCCTGGACTCTTTTCTCACACCACACTCACACCCTCACGCTCAGCCCGGTGCCTCGCTGAGCAAGGTCCCCAAGCTTACTGGCCTCCCGCTGCCCCCTCCGTACATACATCCAGCAATGGGGCACACAGCCACCAGGGCACCAAGCCTGGCACTTTCTTACTCCAAAAATTAGGAAAGCGTCTGTGTTTGCTGGTGGAGGGGACAGTAAGGGGCTAAGCGGCCGGCAGTTATAAGGCCAACATTGGGAGTCTAACCCGGAGACCTCGCCTTCCCACCTGCAGCAAAGGCAGCCCAGAAATTGAAAATAACGTGATCACCCCAAAGCCTGGCTGGCGGCAGCCGCGCCTCCCGGGCCCCCTCTGTCTCCCTGTGCTTTCCCTGCATCACAGATCGTGCCGGGCACAGCCACAGAGCACCTCCGTGCCCTCCTGACCGTGCCCGGTGCCCAGAAGGGGCTAGCCTTCAGGAGGCCCGCCCCAGGACCGCAGTCCTGAAGGTCTGGAGGCAGCACGCACAGAAGGCCTCTCCGTACCTCAGCCCGGAGCCTCGCCAAGCCGGAAGACGCGAAGCAGCCGTGGGGACAGGGGACACCCCCCGGGATCCCCGAGCCGGCCTGGACACCAGAAGCCAAGCCCTGAGTCTGCCCGACAGCCTTCCCTCAGGCCTTCTGAGCACGGGACGCGGAACCCCAACTTGGCTTTGGAATCCCCTTTCGCCTCCGGAAAGCGTTACATGTGCAAACCAGCACCCCATTTCTGCCCCCACCGCGAATCCTGTCCTGGAGGCAGCCCTGATCCTTCCTTCCCTTCCCGTCCCTGAAGTCTGACCCCAGGGACGGATCCCAGCTGAGCAGCTGGCCTTCAAAGGCCTTGAGAACCCAGGGAGGGCTCTGCAAAATCCACAGCTCGGCGGGACAGGCCCAGGACCTCCGGGTTTCTGCAGGAACCCAAAGGTCTCCCACACCACACGGCTCAAGCACCAGGGACGTGAGTCCTGGGTGCTGGAAACCTCTGACTTTACGTGTGGGCCCGGAGTGGCGTCCAGCCAGGCCGTGTCTCCGTGAAAGCAACCTCTGCATGAATTGCATGTGCCCTGCGGGGCGGGGGGGGGGGGTGAACCCCGAAGTAAGACAAGCTGGGGCCGAGCGTCCCCAGGCCGCCGGCGGTCAGGGGCTCATCTCTAAGCCTCCAGCTTCCCTGGGTGGAGGCCTCAGAAAGATATCTGGGGCATCCCCACGTCTCAAGGCCGCGGCCCAGAGCTCTGCCATTCACAGATCCCAAGTGTGGGGTCCCAGCGACCAGGACACAGGGGCTTCACGGGCCGGGGCTGGCGGGGTGGTGAGGAATGTCCTCCGTAGGGAGACCCTCCTGGCCTCCCCCAACGCTGACACCGTGTGCACCCGGGGGCGAAGCCGCTGTGTTTCCTCTTTGCAATGAAATATAGGCATTCGTAACAGTTTTACGTGTGCCCCCGCCCGGAGAAATCCAGCCAATTTTATGACACTGATTTGCCGCTGCTGGTTGCCCGGTTTGTACGGAGACACCCCCCCCCCACCGCGTTGGGGCGCGGCCGCGGGGGGCGGGGG